GCCAGAGCAGGTGGGGTCCCAAAGGGGCTACCTATTTAAGTTATAATATTTTTCGCTCCCTTAACCTAGACAAGAACTGTCTCTGATATTCCCCTTTTCGAAGAAGTATAGCTCCGAAAAAATTTTTTGAATTGAACTTTTTTTCTAGAATATATAATCTGAAAACTACAGATTAATCTAATACTCACTCTATATTCTACTCACCACATCATGTCTGCTATTACAACCAAGTTTGTCACAAACCACAAACTCACCAATGAGATAAGTCTCGAAGAGCTTAGCCAATATACACCGGAAATACTTGAGCTCTTAACAACTGGCATACTACTAGTAGATAAAGAGAAAAGGCGCCAGGCCTGTAATCGCCTTTAAAAAGGGTATGAATTTAGCAAAGAACAAGCATTTGTATTAATTTCTCATGAGAGAATTGGGAGAAATAAAAGCTCCAAAGAAGGAGGTGATGTGGATATATGCTTAGTATCTGATACCACTCTAGAAGGGAAGACTATCAAACAAACAGCTCAGCGTATTATGAAAGATAAACTTAGTGAAAAAGATGTAAAGGCAATATCTAGAACCTTAGTCAAAACATTTTCTGATGCCGTCGTTGCCTTATCCCGCCTCTCTAGGCTTCAAAGAGAATTACGGCCCCTCAACGCTTTAGAAAAAATAATTTCTGCTACATTGAATCTGGAGATAACTAGGTTATCCAATAAAGTTCAAAAGGAGCATAGCGAGCAACGCGAAAATGAAGGAATTGATTTTCCAGACCACTTCTCGTTAGAATTGGTCAAGAAAAGATTGGATAAGTACGATGTATCAAATATATCTAACAAACAGGCCCTAGCCAATATAATGATAATGCTCTGCATTTGTCTGGCTGAAATTAAAAACTTGTGTATATCTAATAGAACTGTAACTGTATATGCAAAAAACCGAGGTTAACAAGATATTCCTCGAGTGTTTAGATCACTAGAAAAGAATAAGGAACGGGCTAAGCAACTCCTTACTTGGATTCAGGATAATATTTGTTCTGGACAGTTAAAGGACCCAGGAAAACTTGGATCTACGTACTTAAGTACATTTCTGAAAAAAGACGAATTTATTCCTGAAAGTGGTGAACCATTACTTCCTAGCTCTTTACGCAAATTAGGGGCAGTATTTGCTTCTGTAGCGCATGGGCCTAAAAATGCATCAAAGGCTAATACTTATGCCAGTGAGGCATTAAGGCATAGTCCCGACAACCACACTTCTCCATCTAAAAGATATACTATAGTCAATATGCGGAGAAGAGGTAAACCATATAATCAAGCAGAGGCATTCAAGCTCTTCGATGAAAACTGATCACATAGAGGGTTAGGTATCAATTATTAATTTTATTTTTTCGCTCGAGAGAATATATATCATATATAAAATAATACAAAAATGACCAGAATAGAAATAACTGAAAAGCATTCATCCAACAACAAGCGCGATGCACCTGGCAAGCAGGAAGTTATCAGATATAGAAAGTTAGTAGCTCGGATATTTGGACTAGAAAAGACGGTAAAAAAATTGGAGAGAGATGTGGCATTCCTAGAGACTGAATTAGAAGATTTAGATGATTGTGTGGACAAGAGCACTGTGGTTGACTTAATACATGAAATAGTTCTCACGCGCATTAATGAAAAAGGTAAGAGTTCCTCCTATTCATCCAATTCATCTAATTCATCTGAAGAATCTGATTCTGTTGAGATAATTGAGGTAAGAGAACAAAAGGTTGTTCTTTATAAGCAACGAAAGAAGGTACGACCAAAAAAGATTAAGATAAAGAAAGCTATTAGCAGTTCGAAGAAGTGATCGCTAGTTGTTCACTGTTTTCCTAATGCTATTCTTGAGATCACAATTGAGAGATTTATTTTTATATTAATATTTTTTTTCTTATAATTGGCGGTATCGAAGTAAAATAAAAATTTATGAAGTGTATACCCCCTTTTCTTCACTAATCGTTCATGATTGCCAATAGATTGAGTGATCCTGGCACATACAAAATAATTCGTGAATGAACAAATCGTCAAACCCGAAATTAGTTTAATGAAATCTGCAAATTAGGTTTGTTAGTCGTGAGGGTGTTTAATGTATAAAAACGAGCTAAGTATAAAGAAAATTGCAAATACTTATCTGTCTATAACGTATACTAATTTTTTCAATCCTGCAAAACTTTATCTTTGAATATGTCTACTAACCCGAACCCCCAAAATATTTCATGTCTCAAAACTTTCGCATTGAATATTCTTAAGAATAGCTCCCCAGATATTATTGCAAAAGGCGTTGAAGTTCCAGAACAAGATCTATGCTCAAGGTGTAAAGAAGAGCTTTTTTTGTATGAACTTAAAAACCATTTACCATACTCGTCTGTAGACATATATACCACTGTAGTTGTCTTGAGGATTATGTAAAAGATCTCCCGCAATGCCCTAAATGTGCAATGGAAATTAAATCTATTGATTATGTGCATTCTGGCACTTCTGAGCAAAGTACCTTGAACCTAATGCAAATTTCGCCACAAATGACACAAATAGCGTCCAATCAGAGCCAGAATATAGTAACTTCAGATACAACACATATTTCTAACCCCACCTTATTGGATCCCTTATTATTTCAAGACTATACAAAACGAACCCAAACTGTTAAACCAAAATCTAAAAAAAGATTACGTGAAGAAGGTATAAAAAAAGAACCTACAAATCTAAAGAAATTAATTGATGAGTTGACTACCGAAAATTTAGATTCTACAGAAAATATTATTACACAGTCAAGTTCAGTACCTACCGGTGAAAATAAT